CTGGGGAGACTATGATTCACATGACATTGAGCGTTATACAAGGGCCAAGTTCATGGACTACACTACTGACAATATGTCTATCTATCCATCTCCAACTGGTATGCTTTCAATATCTATGAACTATTTTATCAACTATCTACTTGTCTGAATTGTTTGTAGCTAATTGTCATTTTGTTCTACAGGGGTGATGATTGGAATTGATCTAGCATATAATTTGCACTCTGCTTTTGGCAATTGGTTCCCTGGGTCAAAGCCCCTCCTTCAGCAAGCAATGAACAAGATAATGAAGGTAATATAATCATGCTAATTGTAACCACTTATTTTGCATAATGATCTGATGTCTGTATGTTCCAGTATTTCCAATTTTACTAACCTGCTGGGCTGTTTCCTTCTACAACAGTCAAATCCTGCTCTGTACGTGCTGAGGGAGAGAATAAGGAAGGGTCTACAACTGTATTCTTCGGAACCCACTGAGCCATATTTGTCTTCACAGAACTATGGAGAGATATTCAGCAATCAGATCATATGGTTTGTGGATGACACAAATGTCTATCGAGTTACCATTCACAAAACATTCGAGGGTAACTTGACCACTAAACCAATCAATGGTGCTATTTTTATTTTTAATCCAAGAACTGGTCAATTATTTCTGAAGGTATGTTCATTCTTTTTTAGCTACAGTTGTAATTGTGATATTACTGTGGAGTGTTGCAATTTTGAAGGCTTAAAATGAAAATGGATTGTATATAATCTGCAGGTCATCCACACAAGTGTATGGGCTGGACAAAAGCGTCTTGGACAGCTGGCCAAGTGGAAAACAGCTGAAGAGGTTGCTGCATTAGTTCGGTCGCTTCCTGTAGAAGAGCAGCCAAAGCAAATCATTGTGACAAGGAAGGGCATGTTGGATCCTTTGGAGGTCCATCTGCTTGACTTCCCTAACATCGTTATCAAGGGCAGTGAGTTGCAGCTGCCATTCCAAGCTTGTTTGAAGATTGAGAAGTTTGGTGATCTTATTCTCAAGGCTACAGAACCCCAGATGGTTCTGTACAACATATATGATGATTGGTTGAAGAGTATCTCATCATTCACTGCTTTCTCTCGGATTGTGCTTATATTGCGTGCACTTCATGTCAATAATGAGAAGGCAAAGATGCTGCTCAAGCCTGACAAGACCATTGTTACGGAACCACATCATATTTGGCCAACCTTGACTGATGAGCAATGGCTGAAGGTTGAATGTGCACTCAGGGACCTTATTCTGTCTGATTATGCGAAGAAAAACAATGTTAATACTTCTGCATTGACACAATCTGAAATTCGTGATATCATACTTGGTGCTGAAATAGCTCCACCATCACAGCAGAGGCAACAGATAGCTGAAATTGAGAAACAGGTAGGGCTCAGCATAATAGGAACCGTGTTCAGTTCTTATTCATGAATAATTCACATTTACTCACTCCTGGTTTTACTTGATTTTGCAGTCTAGAGAGACGACTCAGCTGACTGCAGTTACTACAAGGACAACCAATGTGCATGGAGATGAGCTCATCATCACGACGACCAGTCCGTATGAGCAACAAGCATTTGCATCAAAGACTGATTGGCGTGTCAGGGCCATCTCTGCCACGAACTTGTATCTTCGTGTTAATCACATTTATGTTAATTCAGATGATATAAAGGTCAGCACAGTAGTTCCTTTTCTTTGGTAACCATTTAAGTTGCAACTAACAAGCATTGAAGGGTTGCTGACTCAAATATTCTACCTGCAGGAGACTGGCTACACTTACATTATGCCGAAGAATATATTAAAGAAGTTCATATGCATAGCAGATTTAAGGACACAGATTGCAGGTTTTCTATATGGGCTGAGTCCACAGGATAACCCCCAAGTTAAAGAGATCAGATGCATAGCTATTCCTCCACAGCACGGAACTCATCAGATGGTGACACTGCCTGCAAACCTTCCTGAGCACGAGTTCCTTAATGATTTGGAGCCACTGGGCTGGATGCATACCCAGCCTAATGAAGCTCCCCAGCTATCACCACAGGTTAGATTATTTATGCTTTCAGTTTCTTTTAGCTGTTGCAAAGGAACACAAGTTGTCATAAGACTAGACTAATCGTTTTGTTGATTATTGCAGGATTTGACATCGCACGCCAAGATCTTGGAGAACAACAAGCAATGGGATGGTGAGAAGTGCATCATTTTGACATGCAGCTTTACCCCAGGATCTTGTTCATTGACCGCGTACAAGTTGACGCCAAGTGGTTACGAGTGGGGCCGTAGCAACAAGGACAGTGGAAGCAACCCACATGGATATCTCCCGACTCACTACGAGAAGGTCCAGATGCTTCTCAGTGACAGATTCCTAGGATTCTACATGGTATGTTTTGATGATTTTCTAACGCATGCTTTTTCAAGACTCAACAACATAAGAATTACTACCTCCGTCCTAGAATATAGTAACTTTTGGCTATATATCTGGACATACGGATCTGGAGCTGGAGCCAGAAGTTATAACATTTTGGGGCGGAGATAGTTCTTACTCTGCCGAGAGTTTTACATTTCTTCCGTGTCTCTACCAGGTGCCGGATAACACCCCTTGGAACTTCAACTTCATGGGAGTGAAGCACGACCCGCTGATGAAGTACAACATGAAGCTTGGCACGCCCAGGGACTTCTATCACGAGGACCATCGGCCGACACATTTCCTCGAGTTCAGCAACATCGACGAGGGCGAGGTCGCGGAAGGTGATAGGGAGGACACCTTCACGTAGCCTGTCTGCTATGAACTTCACGCCGTCTTGAGTAGAGAGATCAATAACCTGTGACTTGACGCGACCTGTAGTAGCATATGATCAGTTTGTTTCGAGAGGTTGTATTCCCTGATGTAGTCTGCCCTTCAAAGAACTGGGTGTGACATGATATGTACTAAAATGACATGCAGTTCTTGCAGCTGAGATCACAGAGAGTAAATGTAAGCAGAGATCACATCACAAAGAACTCCGAAAATGATGTGGATCTGGGGTGGTAAACGGCCCCACATTTTTGTGGGTTGGGTTTAAAATTTGGGGTACTAAACTCAAAATTTATGAGTTATGCTTGGTATATGTACACTGTAGCTCAGTACGAGGCCCAATTGTTATCCCTCACGATCAATCTCTGCCGTATTCACAATTGATCAATCTCTGGAATATTATTTAGGAAAAAAAATTCGTTCTTGTCCTTTGAACCGTAAAACCTGATATAGGGTGTTTTGTAACCTCTAAAACCGATGTAAATTGAGTTCCTCGATACTATTAAAAGTGGTTTTGACCTATGTGGTATCCTAATTAAAGAAAAAAAAAAGTACTGGTAGCATATGGGACCTACAAAGTATTAAAAGTGGTTTTGATCTATATGGTATCCTAATTAGCAAAAAGAAATTAGTATTAGTAGCATATGGGACCTTCTCCTTGTTCGACCTAGAGCTTGGAGTGCCACATCGTGTCCGAGGGCCGGAGAGACCACGTCCTTTTCAACGGCTGACACTGAGTAGCCGACCTCCTCGAGCACTTCGAGCTTACTGAGGTGAGAGAACACAGCGAGAAGATCCACAGCTCCTTTCGCCTACTACCTCACCTATTGGGCCAAGCTCCACCTCCTGCATCCACCGAAAATCACCACCGCGGAGGTAGCAAAGCGTTGTGTCGCCGCCCTGGCTTCGGCGAGTGCATGCCATCGCTGTTGTTGTCAAATGCATATAGCGGTGAGGGAAGAAGTGCCCTTGACATATGAGCCCCACAAATTGTTAGTTTTTTTCTATCTGAACTATCATTGATATATGGGTCCTAGTAGTATCTTTATTTTTTTTTTGTTTATAGCACTGTATAGACTACTAAGATCAAGTTAACAAGACATGCATATATCACATCAGCTAAAACCACTTTCAATACTACCGAGGGACTCTATTTACACCAACATTAGAAATTGGGGAATGTTTTATATCGGTTTTGTAGCTAAGGGACACGAATGAAAGTTGATTCATAGTTAAGAAACATAAAGTGGACCTTTTCGATTATTTATGTCATTGTATTAGTTATTTCAGTGGTTATTTAGTTATGGCCATCAGCGCATGAAAAAACGAGAAATCCATTAACCATTAGCGCATCAAAATTCAGTTTTAATTATTTCAAACTTGAAAATAGATTTATCTTATATTTTAAATCAACTTATATATATATAGAAAGTTTTCACACGATATTTTAGCAGTTTGAAAACGTATTAATAAAAACCAAGATAAAATATACTCCCTCCGTATTTTAATGTATGACGTCGTTAACTTTTTAATAAACGTTTGACCTTTCGTCTTATTCAAAAAATTTATGTAATTATCATTTATTTTATTGTGACTTCATTTATCATCAAATATTCTTTAAGCATGACATAAGTATTTTTATATTTGCATAAAAAAATTGAATAAGACGAATGGTCAAACGTTGGTTAAAAAGTCAACGGCGTCATACATTAACATACGGAGGGAGTATATCTTAATAAGAAAAGAGGTGGGGGCTTTACTAGGGTGCCTCCAAAAGAATGCTATGGAACATCACACCTCAATCCTTTGCTTTCATTACATGTTCTTTTTTAACACGATGAATGTAAAGTTAAAGGCGCGTAAAACACAACAAACTATTAGCAAATGATTAATTGAATTTTAATTATTACAAACTTTAAAAAATATTTATCTAATGTTTTAAAGAAACTTATCTATAGAAAATTTTTACACGGAACGCGCCATTTAGCAGTATAAAATAACACCGCATTAGAAAGATATATTTGATAATCTAACACCCATTAAAATGAGTTTCGATTATTTGATATCTTAACCAACTATCATTCACTCAGATTATCCCACATATAATCCTCATAAGGGTCGATTAAAAGTTGGGATTTTATTTCTTTTGTTACAAATAAATACTACAACTACTCATACGAGGACCTAGACGTAAAACCGCAAAATCTTAACGCATCTTCCGCTGATCTCCACGGCATCGGCCGTGTACTCCTCACTTCGCTCTCTCCTCTCCTCCGCATCGCGATCACCTCCTCCTCTCCTCTCCTCGCCTCGCCTCGCCGGAGATCGCCTCACCCACGCGCCGCCTCCCTCCCATGGACGCATCCTACCGCCGCGACGGCCGCGGAGGCGGCGGCGGCGGGGGCGGCGGCGGTTCCGCCCCTCGCTCCGTCGAGGACATCTTCAAGGACTTCCGCGCCCGCCGCACCGCCATCCTCCGCGCCCTCACCCACGGTACGCCCGCCGTTGAACCCTCCCTCTCCCCACGAAACCCTAACCCTAACCCTGACCCTGACTCCCCTTCTCCGCTTGTGCTTCGTCGCAGACGTCGAGGATTTCTACGCGCAGTGCGATCCAGGTGAGCTATTTCACGTCGCGATCTCTTTGTTGTGATGCTGGTGCTCGAGCGAGGTGGGGTGGGGGGATTGAAATCGGGGTGGTTTTGGTCGGGCAGAGAAGGAGAATCTGTGCCTGTACGGGTACGCGAACGAGGCGTGGCAGGTGGCGCTGCCGGCGGAGGAGGTGCCCACCGAGCTGCCGGAGCCGGCGCTCGGGATCAACTTCGCCCGCGACGGGATGAACCGCCGCGACTGGCTCGCGCTCGTCGCCGTCCACTCCGACTCGTGGCTCGTCTCCGTCGCCTTCTACTACGCCGCGCGCCTCAACCGCAACGACCGGTACGCCCTCCTGATCTCGCCTCTGTTTGATTTTGGTTTTGATTTGTCCCTAATTGTGCCATATCAGCGTAATGTTTGAGCTTCTAAATTACGGTATGTTCATGACAAAATATAAATCAGGGTAAGAGTATGAGGCAACTTATTACTTCTAGTGTGAGGAAATGATATTGTGGCCTTGGGGTTTGTTTCGATGTAATGCTTGCTTTGGTAGGTACTGCTTCCAGTGTGATGATGCCAAGTACAGTACATATTAGATGCATTTAAGTTTTGGTTCTTTTGGTTTTCCATAGTATTATGGAATATTGTGGGTTGTTGTGCTGATTCTATATGAGCCAAGAGATTTAATTTGTTTCCAAATTTGTAGTTCCATCATGTTTGTCTGCTTTAATAGTGTGCTGGGTTATTCCAAGGGTACATCTTTCTAGAAGTGAACACTGGTTTTTTTGTAGTTTTGAGTTGTTAAGAGAGAAAATATGGCTGCATACTCATGCAAGTAATATCCCTTTGTATTCTCAGGAGGAAAATTAAATTTCCTAAGATTTTTTTTCCTTTCCTGAAAAATAGGAATGGGAAATTGTGATAAAGGTGGAATATGCAGGGTTCCATTTGTCATAGAGAAAAGAAATAGATCAAAGGACATGAGTTCCTAGTTTTGGAGCAAAAAGGTTAGCACCTCCTGACAGGAGATAGGAAAGGGGATCAATTCCGGGGAAGTATTGTTTCATTTCTTGCAGCCATCTTCTGCAGCACTGTTCTCTTTTTTCACAGGCCTATATATATGTGCTCCTCCTCTTGATTCAATTTCAAAACCTGTTTCTGCATCATTGGGTTATGGCTGGTCAAACTTTTGTCGGTGCCAGTCAATAAAGTATGACCTAGGAGTTCATACTATATTTATCCTTTTCATGGTTCACCGTTAAAAATTACCTACAGGCATCTTATGGTCATGCTATCTCTCTGTGTTGGTGCTATTGTAATTCATCTTGTCTCAAAGAAATTCTGGAATTATTTGCAAGTACTCCTGCTTATTAGTTATCACCCTGCCCTTCTAGCATAGCTTGGTTATGGTGCTTTGGTAAGTACCATGTGAAACACAAGTTTGAACAATATAATAGGCCTTGGGTAGTGACACTTTTGGGTAATATTTGGTTATTCTGCTGATTTGAGAAAACAATTTCCTTTGTTGCTATAACTACACTTTTGGCCATAATGTCTGCTTGCATTAGAATGTGCTGGTTATATTGGCATGTTTTTGTACATACAGACTCGTTGGTAATAGCTTGATTACTAAAAGGACTATCTGATTGCATTCTACAACATAATTGTGATGTAGAATTGCAAGCATGCCTATTATTTTGAGACCTTCAGTTTTTAACCCTTTTTTTGTGGAAGAAGGTAGTAATTTAAAGGCCATACTCATTCCCCCGTGATGAATTGTTTACTATGGCCATGTGGAGTGACAGTAATATGCTCGCAAAGTGATGTTTTTAGTGTGCTTTTGTGCACCTGTTGCCAATAAAGTATGGTGTTGTTTCTACCTTTTACTGTGGGAAGAGGGTGACTCACTGACTCAGCACTTTAAGAGAGAGATAGAGAGAAATCAGAGAAGACAGACTCTCCAATTCACAAATAATGTGAGAGCACCTATGTAGGTAGGGAGGTTAAAAAACCTCCCCACCATCTGATGTAGACTGGATCTCCATAAAGAATGTTCATATGTGGGCTATTTGATTTTCTGCTAATTGTTGTTAATGTTTGCTTCACCAATTTTTGGTTGCATTTGTGGGATTTGGGATGTATTTGATTTGGTACGAAATTTGGCAAGATGCCTTTCTAGTGCTTGGCCAAAATATGGGTTGCCAATTTTATGACCAAATCTTATCTAGACTTTTGGTATGTTAGCAACTTCGTGGAGCTCTAGTTTATAGGAGCCGCAGCTCATGCTGAGTTTTTGGTTCTAATGTTCTATATAGTTTCACTTTCATATTTGGGTCCTTTGTGATAGTAATGCGGTTACTACTTACTAGTGTCTTTAACTTTTGATAATTTTGGAGGTGGGAGGACTTCTAAAGTTGTTTTGAGGCAACGTTTCTTTATTCACATGGGCAAACAAGTTTGAGCTGCCTTTTGTCTTATGGGTATCTATGAACAATGCATTATTGCTGCTATAGTTAAAATAAGGATTAGTATTATGCTTGACTCTGGAGCAAGTAAAATATATCATTCCATTAGCCCTACAAAATTTATTTTCCAGCATAACTTGAGCAATAGGCATCTTTATTTATTTTGGGGGAAATGGAGTAACTTTGGATCTTTGTGCTACTTGGTACTTTTGCACGTAAATACCTTGTATGAATAAACTACACTCTAAATTGTCGACATGTGAATACAGCCATTGACTGTTTTGCATGCTGAATGCTGATATCCTATGCATATGATGTGCCATGTGTTGGGCCATCCTGCAAATATATAGTTGTAGGGCTGTACTGAAGATGATATTTTTAGAAGTTCTGTACTGATGAATGATGGCGATAACCAGTAAACCTATAGGGGGCAGCTGGCAAAAATCATTCATGTTGACAGTCCAAAGTGATCTTGTAATAGTTAATACTCAATTAGTTCCTGTGTATAGTTGGGACTTGTGAGCCTATATTTCTTCCTTTTGTTTGTACAGTTCAGAAGTACTGCTGTTTGCTTTATCAAACAGGGATAGTCAGATAGCTGATCTGCCTACTCATTCATGTTTTGTAGGAATTTAAGCGTTGCCTTGGTTTAAAATGGGTTTTTTTAACACTCCATGTTCCATATTTACTTTGATTTAATAGCCGTAATCCATTGTGAATACTTATGGATTATAAAGCGGTCTTAAAATTCACTGAATTGGTAGTTTCATAATGATAACTAATGTTTGGCATTTCTATTTTGAGTATAACATTGTTGAGTATAACTCATATTCTGCATTTCTGTTTCTTGAAAATTTCACTCCATTGGTAGTTTCCTAATCTCAACAAGAGTATTAACATTTGTTCTCTCATTGTCCTTGCTGTTTTCGCTCTCCAATTCAACAGGAAGCGTTTGTTTGGCATGATGAATGATTTGCCAACTGTTTACGAAGTCGTATCTGGTTCAAGACAATCTAAGGAGAGGGACAGATCCGGCATGGACAACAGCAGCAGAAATAAAATTTCATCGAAGGTAACAAGAATTTCTCCACAGTTTTTCACCATTTCCCCTCCCTTCCATCACGAGTCCTGATGAACAAATCCCATCTCCCCAGCATACCAGCGACGTGGCGCGTGTCGAAAATAATATCAAGGAGGAAGATGAAGGCTACGACGAGGACGATGGCGACCACAGTGAGACCCTATGCGGGACTTGCGGTGGGATATACAGCGCCGACGAGTTCTGGATCGGCTGCGACGTGTGCGAGAGGTGGTACCACGGCAAGTGCGTCAAGATCACTCCGGCGAAGGCGGAGAGCATAAAGCAGTACAAGTGCCCGAGCTGCAGCTCCAAGAGACCTAGACAGTAGTAGCATATGCCACCCTCCTCCGGCGAGAGGAGGTGTCGCCGGCGACGCCGCCATTGACAGAGGCGTCAGGCTGTGGGTTACTGTACCTTTCGTTTTTCGACTTACATATGATGAAGATGATGCCAAATGTGAGGTAAGAAGATCACAAGACATTCATGTGAGGTGGAGATATGAGGCTATGTATGTTGCCAGAGGAATAGGGGTAACGTAATATATGTAACTTTGCGAAACAAGATGGAAGTTTATCTGACAATAATCCGAGAGGTTTGTGTTGATATGTTGTGTCAATGACTCGAATCCGCTGTAATGTGGGTCTTGTACCTGAATAACATGGGTTTATTCCCATTAGGATAAAGCCATAATTTTATGACATTTCATAACTTAGTTATGTGATGAGTAAAATCAAGAGAACATATAACATGTTTGTTCCCATTAGGATAAAGCCATAATTTCATGACATTTCTTAACTTAGTTATGTGATGAGTAAAGTCAAGAGAACATAGCTAGCTGCAAGAATAAAATGATTTTTCATGAGTATGTACGTTCATAATCTTGTTTTAAACAAAGTATAAATTTCAATTGGAACACACGATAAACTACAAATAGTATACTAGTACATAGTAGAACCCAGCGTCAACGAAAGAACACTGGTGAGTCGTAGAGAGACAACAGAGACAATGCAAGTGAGATCAAATAAAATCTTTCTTTGGTGTCTTCGAATACAGCAACCAAGACTAGAATATGTTAGAAGCATCATCTAGGTTACATAACAAAAACTGCAACCATGAAAGAAAGTTTGTATGAAAAATGGATATCGAAATGTCAATCACAGCTTGTAAACTGGTGTAATTCCGAGCAGCTCAAAGCATTGTCGCATCACGACCGCCGTCGCTTGGCAGAGCAGCAGTCGGCTTGTCTCCTCGGGCGATCCAACCACCTGATGGGTTCAACGTAAAGTGAGCCCGCAGTAAAAATCATTTCTTTTGAATGTTTGGTATAATTATTCTCTAGTTTATAAGAGAAACAAAATTCACTTGGTGAACATGTCAGAAACTTTTTTTCAAGTTCTGGAAGAAAGTAAGATTCACCAGGGGAAAATGATGTAAACAGATGGAAGTATACCTGGCAGTTGGTGTAAAATCTTGTGAACATTTCAGAAAGGTTGTACAGGTACTCGCACAGGACATTCGGAAGTAGGTTGGTGCACGCCTCTTCCACAACCTGACAGACACAGCAAACGTAAATCAGAAGAGGGGAAAAAAGCTTTAGTTGTGAATTAAGCCATATTGTTGACTAAACTATGAAATAGAATTATCGGTGTTTGTTACACCTCGTAGGAATTATCTGAATGAAATACTATTATCTGAATGATGTAATGTATGACTTCTAGTTTTTCCATTGTTCTTGCACTAACCACACCTAAAGTTGAACAGGAAAATCTCAGTAACATGCACCTACTTGTGGGCTAAGCACAAACAACTCCAAACAAGAGCACACAATCAACATGCTGTCAGACCACTGCGGCTGTTTGCTGTTCAAGAATAAACTGGACTACCCTTTTTAGCTCATTTTTAGTTCCTAGGCCTTATGAAAATATAGGTCTGAAAAAAGATCTTTAAGAAAAAAGATTCAGTTAATAGCGCCAATGATACCTCTGCAAATCGGATCAGGTACAGTCCCAAGACACGCTCATCTGGATGATCAAGAGAAATGGCACCACTCTGAGAAGAAAAACAGGAAAACAGAGTCAACGTGTTTAAATCCATGTCTGATAGCTGAAAGAGAACGAATAATTGATGATGGAACTCAAGTAAAAAAAAAAAGATGATGGAACTCTAAAATAACAACAGCAGGACTTTATAAAATCAACAATAGAATCAGTGCATAGAAATAACACAAGTATTACCATTTTCAGCTCTTCTACATCCTTGTTGGATTTCCTGATTATAGAGCAAATGCGAGCATGAGCATACTGAAGGTAAACAGCTGTATTTCCCTGGTGACAAAAAGGAATGAGCTTGTCAATAACAAGTAATGAGAGTAAGCAAGAAGGTGAATGGGTTCACCAACTACTTACTAATATAAAGAATCTGCCCAGAAACTACTCAAGAACATATTTTTTCATTTATGCAAAAGAGCGACCACTATAGACTGTGATTTTCAATATCCAATGCAGAACATAGAGCAACAGATCCTTCCACAAATACTGGAATACATCATAAGCAAATATGTGGCGCATAAAAGTTTTAACACAAATAAAATTAATGGAGAAAAACACCCTTTTATACAAGTAAACAAATAGTGGAGTCTAGAAATACCTTATCACTCAGCATTTGTTCAAAGCTAAATGTGTAATTGGTAAGACGATTGTTCTTCAGATCTGCATACCTGTGTTTATCAGGCAGAAAAACATAAGAGTACTAATTGGATAAGCATTTAAAAAGCTTTGTTATCATATTTCAGTTCAACATATTTGTCTTCCTGAAAGAAGAAATCTTGTACATACTTGACAGCGCCATATCCTACTGCTTCTGAAGTCTTTTCCAGTTCCTCCTCAGTCCAATCAACAATTTTACCTAAATAAATTCATGAACATATTTTACCTCAGGCAAACAAAAGAGAGAGAAACTAGAAAATAATGACCGTTTACCATTTTCTGTTAGTCGCTGGAGAAGTTCTGATTTACTCCGAGATTTAGCCTCATCAAGTAGCTCTATCAATCGAACAACTTCGGTACTACGAGTTCGGAAACGCTTGCCATCTGATCCAAGAACAAGACCAAACCCAACATGATTCGTTTTTGGATATTTCTTTTCTTTTGGATCTGGAAGCCAGCCAGCCATTCTGGCAGCCTGTTAACACAACAAAAGTTTTAGCAAAGGGAAATGAAATAATATATCTAATTGATTATCTGATAAGAATTGCTTGCACCAAGATTATGTAACATGTTATGAAGACAAAGGGCGCATTCTTACATTAAAGAACATGTCAAAGTGCTGCTGCTGTCCAACATCTGTTACGTATATTATCCATTCTGCCTTCTCAACATTAAGACGGTACCTGCATAAAAGCACAAATAGAACGATTACATTCACAAATTCTGATCCTGTGGAAATAGACTGAATCAACTACGAAAATATATTCACTTTGTTTCTGCAAATTATAGCTAATATAAGAGTAATTGCACTGTAGGAACACACCAAAATTATCGATTAGCAACTCACCATAGAGCAGCTAAGTCTGTTGAGGCATAGTTAAAGCCACCGTCCCTTTTAACCACTATCAAAGGGATTTGATGGCCTTCTATGAATATCACTTTAGCACCCTCGCTTTCTTTGATCAAACCTTTGTTATTCAACTCTTCCAAGACTTGTGGAATAAAAGGATTATAAAAGCTCTCTCCCTGAAAAGAATAGCTCTCTTCTCAACACTACAAAATATAAATCAACAAGCTGCTTGGATGCTCAGGGAAGAAAACGACAAACATAAGCATTTCATGATACCAATAGCCAAAAGTTGGTTGAAAGCAAGTACACACAGCTACAGGTGCTATTGTCAAAATGGATTAAGATAAAATGCAGCCATACAAGCTGTAACAGATCATAAACAGACAAACTGATGTTTTTACTAATAAGAAAGAAATCCAGAAATCCAACTAAATTAATATTAGTGCCATCGGAAACTTCAACAAATACATATCGACAAAACAGATAAGTGAAGCCCTATAAATATCTCCTGAAAATATTGACTAATGGATTCAGCTAAAAAGACAGAAGTTCAACAAATTGAATGTGTTTCTAACATCCCTGGAATATGAACGTCAATACATCTTCCAATAGGAATCACAAGCTATGCAACAGAGAAATATCAAGTAAAAGGACCCCAATCAGCAACTGACTAATTTGTAAAATTTTGGCAGCAAAATGTTTCCACTCTTCATATGAAGATGAGGTACACCTTGTTGAGTCATGTAAAACTAGTGGTTAGTTATCAGAGACTTTTCAAAATGGCTCAGATGGGAACAAGAGAAAGAACAATCTATCCAAAAATATCATAAAAATTGATACAGTAAAAGTTTAAGTCTCAGATCCTATATAGAAAAGGAAAGGGATGATGGTTGCGCAAATATTCTACTAAAACAACAAACAGAAATTTCAGGTAGCAAATTCATGTTATTGATAAGCAACCTTCTAAAGAAATATAAGTCGCGTCCAATAGAGTGTGACACTACCTTTTCTTCAAGCTTTACATTCAAGAGCTTGTAAACCATGTCAAATTCATTCCTGCTGATTTCACAAATCTTGTTCCAAGCAGCACGGTATCTCTCTTCCCCTCCCTACAGTTAATATATTTCTTAGGCATTGTATGAGGATGATAAGATGCAATTTTAACATACTCATTTTCTATCTCTAATGGAATGACACGCAAAGTGTTTCCATGTCTCCCCCCCCCCCAAAAAAAAAAAAAAACATTAACATATTCCAGATCCAAGAAGGTGCACTGACCTGAAGTCTAACGACTGCTTGTTGAGCTCTGTCTTTAAATTCTGCATCACCATCAAAGCGGTTCTTGGACGCTTTATAGAAAGTCTGTAACAGATGACCAAATTGTACATGATACAAACTAAGTGCTACTTTGCACCTTTGGCAAAGATAAATACATAACACGAAGAAATTAAGTCTAATTGGGACACAAGGAAGCAACATTGTCCGATGAAGACAAATACATTTGTACACAACTGAACATGCAAATGGTAGTAACTAAATGAGATAATGTGTGCATGGTTTCTGTATGATTACAGTGTAAGGAGTGTATGTTGAATGACATACATATTCAGAAATAATTTTGAGCACAGCTTTAAAGTTCCAAAATATTGTGATGGATTACTAGGAAGGGAAGTAGGCAACCACCAAAATAGGAAATAAGCAGCTACAAGCAAGATTCGATGCATTGAGTTTTCAAATCAACCTCCTGGCCCACACTACTTGAGCTAAAGATATGGGGAAAAAAGGCAATGCGATGCAATGCAATTTGGTGCGCAAAATAACATCACATGATTCACAAATTTCATCCATCAGTTATTGGCCTTTTGCACTTTCATAGGCATAGAACACTAAAACCTAACAATATTGTATGCACAGGTTAAGCTTGAGAAGTTTAAGATGCCAAATAAATGATATAGACAAGCGAAGCACCGTATGAGTCCTAACATGAACAAGACAATAACTCAGCACTGTAATTTATTTTTATACAATTAATTACGTACTCAAATGTCAATATTTTTATGA